TAAAATGTGGGAGAGATAAGTGACTGCAAAGGATTTGGAAGCCCTGGGACTTTGATTGCTAGATATTAAAGTCTACAAAATGTGTTGGGCAGCTTGATATGTGCTCAGGCCTGATATTCAGATGTTTTGACAAATATAACAGTATTTATTAAAATATTAGAGGCCCAGTGCACAAAATGTGTGCACATGGGAGGAATTGTGGGTCCCTCAGCTGGGCCTGCACCCTCTCGCAGGCTGGGACCCCTTGCTCCTTACCACCCACCTGCTCACTGCTCCTTACAGCTGCCATGGAGGTGGGAGAGGCTCCCGCCATGGCAGCTGTGCTCGCCAGCTGTGAGCCCGGCTTGTGGCTGAGCAGCACTCCCCCTGTGGGAGTGCACTGACCACCAGGGGGCAGCTCCTGCATTGAGCATCTGCTCCTTGGTGGTCAGTGTGCATCATAGCGACCAGTGGTTCTGGTTGTTCTGCTCTAATGGTCGCTTAGGCTTTTATTATATAGATTGAAGTCCTTCATACTGCCTGGTTAAGTATCCTCTGCACTAAGCTCCCCTTCCCCCACCACTACTCCAGCTACACCTGCCACCCCCCAGGAACCACCCTGTCCTCACACCGCCATTTCACCAGAACGCAGCACTAAAGAATTTAATACCCGGCCTACCAGCTGTGCTAGTGCCCCATGGCTGGCTTGAATTCCCATAAAGTGGTTGGTGGGTGCCCTGCTGTATAGGTTGCTATATATTTTTCATATCATCCCTAAAGGTTCATCTTGCTACCCAGGACTTGAAGAATGTTCAAAACATGCAGGAAAAAAAAAGCCCTAGAATCTTAGAAAGAGTCTGGCCAACGTGGCTCAGTGGTTGAGCGTCAACCTATGAACCAGGAGTTCAGGGTTCGATTCCTGGTCAGGGCACATGCCTGGGTTGTGGGCTCAATCCCCAGTGTGGGGTGTGCAGGGGGCAGCCAGTCAAGTAGTCTTCCTCTCTCTGAAGTCAATCAAAACATTTTTAGTAGTCTTCCTCTCCCTTCCTCTCTCTGAAGTCAATCAAAACATTTTTAAAAAATCTTAGAAAGAGGCTCTATCTACAATAGTGAAAATACTTGGATTGACTTTAAGATGGTAAAAGTATCAGGCCACCTTCATCTCAATGAGTGCAGTATTCCTTTTTTGTTGTGGGTGGGTTTTTTTGTATTTTTTCAGAGACAAGAAAAGAAATGGGAAACCACATTCTTGACTCATGAGTCATGAGTCAAAATGGGACTCTGGTCTTTTTTAAACCGCAAAGCCCAACTTGCCTCCAAACTTTGCACCACACTCTTAACTGTCTTTAGATTCCAGTTCCATGAGGTGCACGGAAAATGAGACCAAAAAGCGAGGTGAGCACGTTTTTTCGGGCTCCCTCTTTGAGATGCCTTTAGGGCCCCCTAGTGGCTACTTTAAGACAGGTTTCTTGGACTAGTCTCCTTGACCCGGATTAAAGAGACCTTTCTGAATCTGTCCTGTGACAGGTACAGTAACTGTGTAGAGATAAATGGAGAACAGTTCGTGGAGGGGGCTCAGTATTTTTTCACTTCTCGGTTCTTAGCAAAAGCAATTCAGGTTCTTTAGAAGTAACAGATATATCACCTCACATATTTTATTCTGCATCCCTCATACTATATTATGTCGCAGCTTAAATCCTTTCTAAGACATTTATACCCTGGTTTGTGTCAAAGGGCTCTAATTCATAGACAAGTACATCCTACATGAGGTTTGGTGGGTCAAATAAATTCTTTAAGTGCGGGGCATGGGTGGGGCTTGACATATTAACATTGCAACATTCCTCTCACTTAGAACATTAGATTTTTCCAATGACTATAATACTGCAACACTGAATGGATAGAAAAAAGCTTTTACAAATTTAAGGTGCTTATTAACTGGTACAAGTAATTTTCGTGAAATGCTCAAATAATGAAATAAATGTTTTGACGTACTTTACTGACCAGAATGAATATTGCTCCCTTCTCCACGATGCCTCTATTTTTCTTTCTAAAATCCGGTCCAGAGATGCACTTCACTTAGTTAAAACGGGGATATCTCTTTTTTCCATATGCTTATCTTTTAGTTTCTGATGTTATTGCATTCTCTCACTTTGCTTGTAAATTTCAGGTCTCCCTCTTCTTCCTCAGTCAGCTTACCCTCATTCATATGCTAATATATTGTAATAATGCCATTTTGCACCATTAATGAAGTGTCTAGCAAAGCAATGAATAAAAAGAAAGCCCCAATTCCTGCTTTAACTTTACCCTGTTCTGAGGCCGGGGGCTGGAATAGGGGAGGAGGAAGTGAGTAGGCAGGCAGGGGCAGTCCGTCTGCAAAAAAAAATAAAATAAAATAAAAATGACCCCCTTGTTTTCAGCGCGTTCCAGAGCCGGGCTGCACGTCAGAGGAAGAACGGAGCAGCGTTCCGGCTAAAAGGCTTGGCATTAAACTTTGACACTCTAATGGTCTCTCGGATATTAGATAATATTTTATCGTATAATGTTCTTCTTCGACACGGTAATGGCAGCAGAACCAGATACCATCTCCTATCCCTGCAAACGTGCAGGGTGAGACTTATTCCCCAGAGATAAGAGAGCAGGACCCCAGCTTCGCAGTTAACTTATCCCAAAGCTTCAAAGCAAACGTGTGTGTCTGTGTTTTTTGTTTTTTTTTTACTTCTTCGCCGGAGACGCTGCTGTGCAACCGCAACCTTCTTTTCGCAGTCTCCTCGGCTCGTCGGCCGCTGAGATTAGGTAAACTGCGCCCCAGAGCTGGGGGACAGCGGGGGGCTGCTGGTGGAAAGGGGCGGGGGTCGTGGCTTGAATAGCTGGAGGGAGGGCAGGGGACCGGGGAAGGGTCCCGGCTGGGTCCAGCTAAGGGCTGGGTTCAGGTAGCTAGGAGCAAGGTCCGGAGCGAGCCAAGCGGCCGAACCTCCGAAGCCCGAGGTCCCTCTGCCTGACCTCTGGGGCCTGGGGTCCGCGCGGCAGCCCCAGCGGGGCGCCCTTTTCTTAAGCACCCCTCCCCCTCCGCACCCTGGCACTTTATCTCAGCTTTTGCTTCCTTCCCCTGCCCCTTCCTAAAACTGAGGTGGGTTCCTGAGTCCCAGGGCTAAGAGAGGGGTGCATGGAGGGAGGCCAGGCTGAGACCCGGCGGGCCCCGCCCGGCTGGGGAGAGGTGGGGACCCCGGGAGTAGGGGACCCCCAGAAGCCTTGGGACCGAGCAGAGGAAAAACACGGGAGCTGGATCGCACGCCGGAGCTCCGGTCTCCCGGGCGGAGTTGTCCATCCCTCCGCGTCCTCTTTCGTTCCCTGCCTCTCTGCTTTCTCTTCCTCGGGGTTTTCTCTCCAGGCCTCCCCCACTCTCATGCCCCCGCCCCTTTGCCCAGCCGATGGCACCCACTCCTTCCATGGCCCGAAAGGACTCTCGGCGCCCCACTCTCGGCTTTCAGAAAGGGAGACTGGCAGTTCATTCAGCGGGACGTTACGCGCGGGGCTCTCATGCCGGGAGGGGAAAAGCTGGAATAAAATCTAAATGGGGAGGGGGTGCGCCGCGCGCGCATGGGGGTATGTGAATGGGAGGACGGAGGGCGGCAAAGAAGTGCAGTTTCCCCGAAAGAATAGGGAACCTTGGGCCGGATTCCTGGATACCGAGTCCAAAATGACGCTGTCAAAGCCCTTCAACGTGGCTTCTCGCAGTCTCAGGCTGCCCCATACAAGAGAAGGGGAGACCCGAGTGGAAGGTGGAGGCGGGGAAACTTCCTACTTCCCAGGACCGCCGTTTTGTACCAGGGAGAGCGGACAGACAGTACGGCCCTTCGAGCCCGCTAGCGTCTCTACGGCGGCAGCTGCGGACCCGCCCCGCTCCCCTTCCCCCTCGATCCGCGAGGCTCCCCAAGCCCGGAGCGGCCCCGAGTGGCCCGGAGCAGTCGGGCTGGGGGAAGAAGGAAGGGGAGCTCCTGGCTGGCACCCTTTTCTCTTAACCCGGGCCGGGATCCCGGATCCGGGTGTTGCTTCCGTCTGCTGGTGAGCAGGCTGAAGAACTAGGGGGCGGATTACTTAGAAGTATATACAAGAAACTTCAGTATTTCAGCAGTTCTATTCAAAACACCATAACCAGTCCAACCAAAGTTGTTAATATAACCAGTATTCTCATAATTTAAAAGCTTTATACACAAATTCTGAACTCTGGAAACAGGAATTCTTAATGTTTGAAAGAACTTTGTTCTCAATTCGCCAAGAAACATAGCCAAAATATTGAACATTCGCAGTGTTCTCCTCATGTTACTGCTTTCTACCTGAAATCTCGGCGATTCAACAAGGCCGTAAAGTTAGGTACTGCTCTATATACTTGTATTTCATGTGTTTCTTACAAGTACTTAAACATTTCCTGGGTTCATCATTGAGTAATTTAGGAGTTGCCAGAGAATGTGATAGTTTTGTTAGAAGTATATACAAGAAAGTTCAGTATTTCAGCATTTTTATTCAAAACACCATAACAAGTGCA